CACACACAACACACACACACACACAACACACACACAAACCTACTTGCGGAATGTCCTTCGTGTAGACGTTCGTGACCCCGGGGACCCTCGCCCAGTCGTACACCAGGAACACCTCGGCCTTGGGTTTCCCGTACTCTTCGCTGTCCACGAGGACGGTGAGGAACCCGTCGCCCTGGGGAGGTGCGCTCGGTGTCAGGTCAGGCTGGGAAGCCTCTTGGGACGGCGAGACCAATGGTTGAGGGATAGAGGAACTTTGGACAGCGAGACGAATGGTTGAGGGATAGAGGAACTTGGAAACGACGAGACGAATGGTTGAGGGATAGAGGAACTTGGAAAGACGAGACTTAGAGGAACTTGGACGACGAGACAAATGGTTGAGGGATAGAGAAATGGTTGAGTGACAGAGGAACTTGGAACGACGAGACAAATGGTTGAGTGATAGAGGAATGGTTGAGTGATAGAGGAACTTGGAACGACGAGACGAATGGTTGAGGGATGGAGGAACTTGGAACGACGAGAACGAACTTGGAACGACGAGACAAATGGTTGAGGGATAGAGGAATTGATAGAGGAACTTGGAACGACGAGACGAAATGGTTGAGTGACAGAGGAACTTGGAACGACGAGACGAATGGTTGAGGGATAGAGGAACTTGGAACGACGAGACAAAATGGTTGAGTGATAGAGGAACTTGGAACGACGAGACGAATGGTTGAGGGATAGAGGAACTTGGAACGACGAGACAGAGTGATAGAGGAACTTGGAACGACGAGACAAATGGTTGAGGGATAGAGGAATGGTTGAGTGATAGAGGAACGGGTCGACGAGTTCTAGACTGGATTTGGAAACGCGGTCCTCGGGTTTAAAATGCAAGAATAAAGTGTTTATGTTTGTCTAACATCAGGATTGTTACAGAACCCGGAAATATGCATTACTCAACCTGGAAGTACCCACTCTAAAAATGGACCAAGAACACCGTAACACAACCTGGAAACACTCATCACTACCATTATCATCAAATACCCACTCTAGAAATGAACCAAAAACACCGTAACACAACCTAGATACGAACCTGACACCATAACACACCCCACTCTAAAAATGAACCACAAAACACCTAACACAACCTGGAAACATCGCCATACACCAATCCGACCAAAAAGACCGTAACACAACCTGGAAATACCCGTCGCCGTTCTGCGAGGGAGGCCAGCTCTCGGGCCTCGAAGTGCGGTTGGACAGAACCCGCACGCTGGCCATGTACTCCCGCCGCTGGTGCACGGTGAGGTCCGAGCTAAGGGAAGCGGTAGGTAAAAGGGCGGTTAGAACCTTGAAATACCTACATAATGGGTGAAGTTAAACGGGAAATTTGCATAATTGGGAATGTAAAGTATATCCATGTGCGTGTGTGTGTGAATATGTATCCGCATATATCACAACAATCGCTTTCAAAAATAGCAATCAAAATAGCACCCAATCAACCTTCCCTATTTTTCTATGACTCACTTAAAGAAGAACTTGTTCCCGACCAGCGCATGTTCAGCATCCGGAACAACGTTGTCATATCGGTGAAGAACAGATTCCACCTCTTCCACATGTCGACCTAATTTCAGCAGGTTCCTCCCCGCGGCTAGTATGGCTCCTCCTGTCCCGTTCCTGGTGGCGATCTCGCCTGGGAAAGACGGTGACCAGACGGGGGAATGTGTGACTGTTTGGTTGTGTTTGTGAAAGCGGAGAGGCAGACGTGTAAGTAAACGTGTGCATGCGAATGCGCCTGTGTAACCAGGAGTTCGCTCATTTTTGCTTGATTTTTTTTTCTTGGTCACTTTAATCTCATTTCTTGAACTCTCGATCACTTATTCTCATTCGTATTTACTGCTCTCTCTCTCTTTCTCTTTCTCTCTCTCTCTCGCTCACTTTCTCTTCTCCTCCTCTCCCCTTTCCCCTCTCCCACTTCCACTCCAAGCTCCACCCCTTCTCCTTCCCTCCTCCCCCTCCTCTCCCCCCCTCTCGTCCCATACCATCTGTCAAATGCCTCCCGCACGTTGTGGGTTCGGAAGTGTGTCCTCGAAAGAGCCATTGCTGGCACTCCAAATAGGCACCAAACAGCCCCTCGATGGTGGCGTTCTCGAAGTCCATGCTCGTCCCCGTGTACCAGCTGAAGAGGTTCGACGTGTGCTGCAAGGGTTGGGCGTGCAGTCAGTATGCATTTGCAAGAGATCGAGGGGAGTGTGCGTTCGGGAAGCTGAGAACACTGAAGGGGGGGGGGGGGATTTAAAGCGTTGAGGAGCTTCTTGTGTTAACTTGGGTTGATGTTGGCTTGCGTGTTGAGTGGAAGTCGCGTTCTGTGTTGGAATTTAGTGTGTAGGTGTGAGTAATAGTTTTTTTCAGTCGTGGTAAAAAGGTATTTCTAAGAGGTATTGTAAAGTCAGATTCATCCGAGATTTAAACTAAAAAAATATATATTAACAACTGAATTCATTCACGAACATCATATGTC